TTTCTCGAGAAATCCATGTTAAGCTGCGCTAAGCAGGCTGTTTTCTGTCAAGGGCGACAGAATAAAAGACGTGAAGCAGTACTTTCCAGTGAAGGACGTGCTATTCAGATAAAACATTAAGTGCTTGTTGTATGCTGTTATATAAAGAAGATCTTTTTATTCTTTTCGATCTCGATCCCGGACACGAAAATGGCATGCCATAAGATGTTGACCTTGTCTCATAGAAGCATGCGCTTCTCCGGCTTAAGACTGCTGCCTAAGGTGTTGTACACCACACGCAGTTTATGATGCAGACCAGCAGATACCGACACATTACGCCCTATTACATCATTATGACGGCAGATTTGGGGTTTACAGGAGCTATATAACCGTTGAAAGTCTGTCAATTCATTTGTAAAACGTTTATGTCGATCGAGTGCCCCAATTCGTTTGTGAGTAGTCAATTACCCCCGGTTCTGCACATGACAGTTTGCCTATCAATTTCTATAATGTCCACAATATGCTCCAAACGGGTGACGACGACTTCTGAGCGAGATAGTTTTAGGTAACAGTAGACCTTTCGAAGCATAACACCCACTCCCTCTCCGCTCATCCACCTGAACGTGGTGTCCCTCTCTCAAATGAGCTCCGGGTGTTAAGGACCCGAATTCGCCAGTATCAATAGTTTCCCCTAGTATGATGAGTCCCGATATTTTGGTGTTTGCACCAATTTGGTTCTGGCTAGAAATGTCACATTCCGCAAAATAAATTATATCAGTTATCAATTTTCAGAGTCTGGAATCAAAGAAATTGCGCGATCCGTTTACTGACAATTGGCTCCAGTAGATCATCGCTGCATTTAAATCCCCAGCTATCAGTGCGCCATCGTTTTGGGTAATTTTTTCAATGACAAAAACTTGGCCTCGCCAACATATGGAGCTTGTTAAGCAGTCTGAAAGCAGTCAGGAAACGTAGAGCTGGTGCACCACGCGATTCCAGTTTTAGTCACAATGCTTTAAATTCATGGGAACAACTAATTATACGTTCCGATGCGATGATGTCCCTTCTATTCCCCCTTATGTTGTATGTAGCCGTTCCCAGCGAAACATCTGGTACTCACCGAGTAAAATTTCAGCATCCATCACATCAGCCTGTAACGAGGTTTCTATAATGAAGATGATGTCCACCTGTGCGGCTGATGACCACACGTAAACGGAGTAAACGGAGTCAAAATTTCAGCTAAAACTTTCAAGGTTTAAAGATTTTGGAATTTCGACCAGGGAAAGCGCCTAAATTTCTTCTGCTCAGAATGTCCACATTTGAGTTTTCTTCTATGAACCCTTCAATATTTTAACTTGATTTTTGCTTTTTTGCACATATTGTTTGTGGTTAGTTGTGTCGTCTGTCATATTACCAACTGTTCATATCTTAACTATTTCTTCTATGTATTTGGTCGAGTTTTTTAAATGAGCGTAATTTCTCGGCAAAGCACTATGATATCCATGGTATTTCTGGTATATGTGAACGATTGCCTTGACTGCCTTACCTGTGAGAAAGTCATGTTTGTAGACGACATAAATATCTGGAAGTCCATTTAAAGGTCAGAGTATGGACAGACCTTACAAAATGACTTGGATCGCTTGCAAAAGTGGTGTGAAAATTGGCTGCTGCAGCTGAACTTCAG